AGGAGCAGGAAGGCTTCTGAAGAAGGGTCTAGGCCCGAAACGTCAGCCTTCCTGCTCCTCTGATGCTGCTTGGCCTGCTGTGTTCATCCAGCTCTACACCTTGTGATCTTCTTATTTTCTTTTCACCTGTGACCATTGCCAGTGGAGAACTCCTTAGAACTGTACTCAGTGGGCACAGAGCGAAAGGTACCTGGGTGCATGGGGAGTGTGACAGGCCACAGATAATATGAAGGGGGATGGAAGTGAAAGTGGGGGCACAGGAACAATATTGACAGCTTGAACCAAAGAACCAAAGCAGGCATTCTAAGCAGCCTGCCGTCTGTAGCCACACTCCTCCTGCATCATACTGTGGCTCAGAAACTGCACAGAGAGCTACAGTTTGCTCGAAATAAACAAAATCTCAGGAAAGTAAGTCATGTTTCCAAGTATGCACTTTGGAAGCTGCAAAAGGGTCTAACTCTTGATTCACAATACCCAGAGGACAATACAGATAAAATCTCTCAGCTTGATGCTATTTTCATTAAAGTTGAAGAAACTTTATTTTACTACACTCCTGTGGAGCACATGGGGATTTTTCCAAATTAGAGGTACAATACGAAAGGTTAGTCATTTGATCTGGTGACATCAGAGAAGTTATGTGCAAATGTGACTCCTCTAGATTCCTGCAGTGTGCCACTGTTTACTGTCAAGCTTTCTACATGAACAATGAGCACAGGTGATGTCCCAAGGTTTGTAGATGACTGAGGCACTGGAATGGATTAGAAGCCAACCTTTGCTCTGTTTCACACTGACAGCTTAACTGAGATGCTATGATTTTCTGAACAAATACAACGGGGTAGGATTTGATTTGAAACACCGCATAGATATCAGAATGGGCTGCCAAAACGCAAAATAATCACGCACTAACTTGGTGAACACAGGCATAGATGTGAATTGCACTGCAAATTAAGAACAGATCAATACTAATGCAGAATTTTTAAAAAAAACTTACCCCTATACATCCCAAAATAGCCATCGGATCGGATTGTCTTAATAAGGCAGTCGGACCTGAAATAAAATGAAGAGGTTCACAAGTTTCTCTTCAGCGAGTTCAGAAAAGCAGAATTAAAAAGAAACACCCGCTTTCTCCATTTTGAAAGATAATATACAGCACCTCCTACAATAACTTAATAATCAACAGCAGCAAAAGACATATACTGGAAGATGCCCTCATTGTTATTTGTGAAGAAGTTGGAAAGATACTCTCCATTAATTATTTCACTACAGATGGTGCATAGATAAAATCATTCTCCAATACATAAAGTTTAATCATTAATAATGTAATCACCTGGAATGGAGAGCTCCAAGCGTGTGATTATTGAAGACTGATTAAGTGGTCAAGTGTGTCATGATGACTTCCTCAGCTTTTTAGAATTCTTCTAATATTCTTTCCAAGTCAGTTTCTCTTCTGTGTCACTCAACTGCACAACAGCATCTGCCGCATTGCAAATGGTGGCCAAAGAAAGTATTCCCTTCTCAACTCTCCCTGGACAGGTTCCCACTCCTCACTTCATTTTCTGGCCAATGGGCAGCGCATTGCCCTATTGTGCCTCCATCTTTGCTGACAAAAGAACCTCAACAGTGGGTCTTCTGATTTTCCCCAGGCTCACTCCACTGGACAAGTTTCTAATTTGGATTAGGCACCTCTAATGAATAAACACAGCTAAAACGATTAAACCACACAATCTACCATTCTATGGCACCATCATCATTTTCAGATCACTCAGAAACTGTGATAGTCCTTACTTTATAAGACTTGTTTCTGTCCACCTCATACCCAATTTTCGAGTCATTAAGCAACTTCTGGTGAATTGAACATGACTCTGTTAGGGTGACATTGTCTGTAACATTTTACTATTACAGAAGAAGTCAACAACTTTACAAACAGATTGCACTGGTGACATAAACCGGTCTCAAAGTTTCTCAGTTCTTTAGTCAGCACTGGAGTTTACAATGACTTTTCATTACACCTGCGATCGATTTCTGCTACACTCTCCCTTGAACCCCTGTCAAGGACAAATTAATAAAATCAACACCTCTGGTATACAAACACATATAGATCACATGCTGTAAACTGAAAAGTATTTACTCACTTTTGCCAGTGGTATTCTCTTTCAACAAACTATTGCCAACCAATTTAAAGTTGACACCAAGGAAATGGGAAGTAGAGAACTGAGGATGAAAAACTCAAGGAAGATGACAAGGGCTATTTCCCCAGGTTCTCTCCACTGGGCAAGTCTCTGATTTGTATTAGGCACCTCTACTGAACAAGACCAGCTAAAACGATTAAACCACAGCCTACCATTCGATGGCACCATCACCATTTTCAGATCACTGAGAACTTGTTGTATTCTTTACTTTATAAGACTGCAGCCTCCTCTGAATATGTTCAGTGATTGGCCACCACTGTAAAAAAACTGCAAATATAAAAAACTTTATGGTCTAGCATGCCAAGTTACACTCCAGGATCTGACTTGAACAATATTACAACCAGCTGGGACCATAATAATGGTTAACCTCAAACATTTAGGAGGTAGCTTTGACTTTTGGTGACAACACAAACCATGCAGTAACAACTCCAGACCCAGTAAGAAAGTCTTCCAATTATGAAATATGGCCTGGCCAAGCCATATATAACTCATGGTACAGATCTCTAACAATAGAGGTTAAAGGTGAAGTTTATAACCTTCATGAACTCCCCCACACTTGTATGCTAAAAGGCAGCAAAGTCAATACTCTATTGCAGAATAAAGACAGTAGATGCTTGGAGGCAATTACAAATTAAGCAATTATTCTCAAATAGCCAAGCAACATTGGATAGAATGTACTACAAGCAAGAGGTTTGATGGATGGTTTTCTCTCTGCCTTGTATATGACAAAGTAGCAATGTATTTAAAAAGAGCAGATACTCAAATGAACCAAGTCATTAAAATAGAATGTTTAGTGTGAACTCAGAAATTCCAAAATGATTTTAACTCGTGTCCAATGCGGACATGAATGAGAGATTGTCACGTGCATACAATTTGTCTCTACAGCTGAAATCAAGAGCTAGCTCACGTTGAGCGGTGTGTTTGTTTTTGTATTACTCACATGCTAGAGTACATCCGCTGGCCATTTTGCTGGTTTTGAAGCCGTGTTTTTGCTAAGTCTATTGGGAACACACAGGTGACCCCAATTAATCCTGCAATGCCTCCGTTGATCAGCTTGGCAGGTAAACTGGGAGAGAGAAAAGACAAACTTTAAGAAATAGGAGAGCGGTAGGCTATACAACCAGCAGTGCCAATTCTGCCATCCAGGACAGTCGTTGCTAATCTTCATCTCTACTTTCCCATCCAGTTCAATCCCCTTATCCCTTCATTCACCAAGTGATCAAAAATCTATCTATTCCAGCCTTGAATTCACTCATTAGCTGTCATAGTAACTAGCTATTTTCCCTTTTGCTGTTTACACTGCACATGTGGTTTTTGATCTGGAAACCACAGCAATTTTATTTTCCCACCTGGAAGTAATTTCCGTGACATTGTGTAAACTTTGACCTGGCATTTCACTGTAGTTTCAGAGTTATGTAATTCTCATAAATGAACAGCATGGGTAGCACAGGAAGATGAATGAACTGTGTGCAGTGATGCAAACCCAATCATGCCTCCAGCAAAAAATAAATCACAGCTATTCATTAAGGAGGTTCAAATTCTATTTGCATCACTTAATGTAAGCTGGAGATACAAGGAAATCACATCCACTTCAGGTTCAAACACCACACAATGTCCAGAAATCCAATTCATTTGTGCGCTAGTCTCTTCATTGTTTTACTGTTGCAACTTCCGTGAAATAAGGATTGACAATAAACAGTACCACTTTAAATTTAGTGAGGGCAAGATCATGCACAAAGATTAAGTACTTAGATGAACACATGAAATGCCACAGCTTCCCAAGGCTATGGGCCAAATGTTGGAAACAAGATTAGAGTAGATAGCTATTTGGTATGAACATAATGGGCCAGAAGGACTCTTTCTGTGCTGTAAGATTTCTGTTAAGCTTACAGATTCATACATGAAATAACAAAACTATTATGATGGAGCCACAGTGAATAAATGGAATTAAGGTTCACATCAGTTATGATCACATTAAATAGAAAAGCAGACTCAAGAAATTGTATGGTGACCGAGGGTCCCTACGAATCTGATAGTCACTTCTAGTGAATACAAATAAATAACTTATCTGGAATTTCGCCATGCCTGGCTGCGGCATGTGGTTTTTGATCTGGAAACCACAGCAATTTTATTTTCCCACCTGGAAGTAATTCTAATTTTTACATTTTAAACAAAAATAATTACTAAGTATAGATCATTAACTGTAGTTAACAGCAGTGGGAAAGGTAAGAGATTAGTTAAAAATAAGTTAAGTAATCTTTTCTGTTTTAATTCATTCTGAATACTTGCTGTCCCTCAACTATTTGAGTTAATAATTATTGTCCTGAGGAAACGGAGAATATGTTGTATTTTGTGAAAATACTGCAAAAGTTTGCTTGGTCTCCCTCAGAATCTTTGTGGTCAAGCTCTGCCTGTACAAGTTAGGGTATTTTGGATGCAGTTAGGGTATTTTGATGACAATCCCTGGTCTCCTGCAAGGCACAAAGATCGCAAAAGTTGGCCTCCACATTGAAGACCTTGCAGCATTGGATTTTCTCTTCTTTTGTGGCAGCTCGTGGTTGTATTCTGACCTTAACAGCAGTGGTCTCATGTGACGATATTTATTTTGACATGTGTAAACAAAACGACTTAAACCTTCCGCCAGCAGCTCATCCAACTCCCAATACTCTATTGAAATGGCTGCCCTATAGCAGTGATTTGAAGCGACACCACCCAACCAGCTGTAACCATTGTGGGAACAGATGGGGGGGGGGGGGGGGGGGAATTGACTGAGTCAGAGATATTTATAGGTCAGAAACATAAATGACAATGTGGGAAATCTATGTCTGGACGGCTGGTGCCCTTGAAGCTTTAGCTTACACTTTGAGTCGTAGAATTGTACAGCACTGAAACAGACCCTTCTGTCCAACTCCTCCATGCCAACCAGATATCCTAAGTAAATCTAGTCCCATTTGCCAGCATCTGGCCCATACCACTCTAAACCCTTCATTTAACGTCCAGAACTAAATTCCTTCGTTTCGGAAACTGCTAACTCAGGAAGATAAATATTTTGCACAAAAGTACTACAATACAGGGGAGTAACAAATAAGGAGCCAAATGAGTCCTATCATCAATGAATCAGAAACTCAAAAGCTATTAAGACCAAATTCAGTTTGCTAATTATTTTTGTGACCTCAGGTGATGGGGGCAGTCAGTGAGCACTGGAAAAGCAGCAGCATATTTCAACTTGCAACATGGCAGGCACCGAGGTATGGCATGGTGTGATGCTGCTCATCTTAGCCTCTGGAATGTACTTAACTACCTCACCAGCCCCCAACCTCAATTCAATACAGCAATTTGGGTACCAATATTTTTTGTTTTAAACCAACCATCCATTTAAATTTGATCAGCAAGGAAAAGCAGTTATGAGCTACTCACACCAAGGCATGTCCAGATTTAATGCCTGGTGTGTACAGAGGCTGTTCTCAACTGAGATAGCTGCAGGGGTGTTAAATTTGGCTCTAGTGCCCCCAACCAAGAAGCACCAAAAAGTAAAGATGAGCCAAAGTTCAGAGATATCATAAACTTGTATTTATAAATTGCCTTTTGCAACCTGTTTTGACAGCCATTAAGGTACTTTTGGCATGGAGTCACTGTTCTAGGAAATAGAACAGCCAACATGCACAGAGCAAGGTCTCACAAAGGGCAATGAGAAAATAACCAATTTGGTTTAGCAATGTTGTTTGAAGGATCTACTTTTGGCAGGACACTTGGAAGTAGTTCCACACTTACTTCTGAAATAGTGCCATCTATACATGTACACAAGTAGTAAGTTGGGCTCTCAGTTTCATGTCTCATCCCAAAGACAGCATCCTGAACTGCAGTATTCCCTCAGTTCGCCACTGATGAATCCATCTACATTTTGTTCTCAAGTTTCTGTAGCGGGACATGAATCTACAAACTTGTGGCACAGAAGTGGAAGCACTACCTATTGAACGATTCACACATTCACCTTCACACATCCTGCTTCAACATTTTTTTAAAAATTCATTTACAGGACATGGCTAGGCCAGCATTTAATGCCCATCCCTAATGGCCCAGACTTCAGTTAAAAGTTAACCACACTTCTATTGGTCTGGAGTCACATGTAGGCCAAACCAAGTAAGGATAGCAGTTTCCTTCCCTAAAGGGTACTAACCCATATTATTAGTCTTCAAAATTTTTACATAACCAATCTGAAATTAATGTCAGATACAAAATGTGTTGGGAAAATTTGGAATTGTTAAAAATGTGCAAAATTTTCTCATCACAATACTTACTAAATATTTGAAATGGGGGGGGCAGGACTATAATATTAGAACAGTTCAAAGGGCGTAAGTGAACCAGATGGGTTTTTCTTGCTAAATGGTAATGGTTTCATGGTCATCATTAGACTCTGAATTCCAGATTTTTATTGAATTCAAATTCCACCACCGCAGGCTTCAAACCTAGGTCTTCAGAACATTAGAGATAACAAGGTGTAGAGCTGGATGAACACAGCAGGCCAAGCAGCATCAGAGGAGCAGGAAAGCTGATGTTTCGGGCCTAGACCCTTCTTCAGAAAAGCCTCCCCTGATGCTGCTTGGCCTGCTGTGTTCATCCAGCTCTACACCTGGTTATCTCAGATTCTCCAACATCTGCAGTTCCTACTATCTCTCCTCAGAACATTACCTGTGTCTCTGGATTAAAAGTCTAGCAATAATACCATCATCTCCTGTGCGGAGTATTTTCAGTATTTTCTGCTTTACTACACAAACGGCAGTTTGACCTGAATTTTGAATATTAAGGGTTAATTTGATCAAAGTTTTCAAGGGATTCAGGGAACAAGATAGGTTAAGGGGGTTGGGGAACAAGAACTAAGGGATACAGTCAAAAATTAGAACAAGAATTTTCTACAATGAAATTAGGAAACACTTCTTCAGGCAAAAGTGGTACAACTTTGGAATATTCTTCCTCAAGCCGCAAATGATTCTAAATTAGTGTTTGTTACAAAAACTAGATTTTTGCTGTTTCTGTTATCCAACGATATGTGAGATATATAACAATGTCAGGTAAATTGACCATTGCGTTAGAGTAAGAATCAGCTAACCAGAAAGTGTTAATCGATTGTTGTAAAAACCTATAATGTCCTCACGGCAAGGATATCTGCCCCCCTTACCTGGTATGGCCTACATTCAACTCCAGACTGGTCAAACCAGCAATGTCCACATCCTATGAAGAATTTTTTTTAAATTTATTGTAGGCAGATGGTGTGTTAGACCTAGGTGCAAAAGCTGAAAGGTCAATTGTCTAAACACTGCAGGGGAAATAAAAATCACTTTTTATTGGAACGTAATGATAATTCAGATAATTAATGCTGTCTGGCAACAGTTGTTTGTAAACTGACACCAAGGAACTGAAAAGGAGACAGTGGCTGACTCACTGCAGCTAGCTAATCAAAACTGTTACAAATATGCACATGATGTACAGGGAAGCATTCTGAGCCCATAAAAGGCATTCCAATCCCACTGTCTCATAAATCAAGGGACAAACTCCTAAAAGCCAAGAGATGGGTTATAAAATAATTTATTGGTTCCAAATGTCAACCAATATAGATTAACACTCTGTTTATAATTGTCATTTTAGTTTATTTAACCTCTAACAATGAGATAGTTCCAAGGAAGTTATAAGACGGTATCTGAAAATGCTTCACAAGAAACTTTTTATAAATCCTGTTGTCCCAGCACATGCTAAAGAAGGATCCATATTCCCATCGAAGCAGAATGAGACGCCATGGAAGGTGGTCATTCAGCCCATTATGCTGGGCTAGCTCTTTCCCAGAGATACCCAATTAGTCATGCTCCCTGTTCTATGCCCAGAACGCTATTTTGTTTTTGCCTTCAGCTCTCTTTTGAGAATTACAATTGCAAATTTTTTCCTCAAACTTTCAGGAAATGCAATGCAGATCATAACCATAAATATGGTGGGAGGAGGTTTGGGTGATGGACAAGTATCAGCATGGATTAATTGAGCTGAATGGTCTGAGCAATTGTATGTGGTGAAGTGACT